ATAGCGATGAACTGAAAGACACAACAGTGGGGTTTGGGGCCCAGGGCTCCAGAACCCTAAATCATACCCAAAACCCTGAACCTTAAACCAAAAACCCTAAACCCTAAACCCTGAACCTTAAACCCTAATCCCTAAACCCGCTAAACCTCTAACCTAATTTCGAAACCCGGGTTTAGAGACCTGCTGCAAGCAAGGACGCCTCTTTGGCCAGAAGATCGAGGATGATGCCCAGGACTCAAACGATTTAGGGTTTAAGGGTTTAGGGTGGGGGGGCGGGGTGGTGGTTAGGGGTTGAGGGTTACAGCGTGTAGGGTTTAGGGTTTAGGGGTTTACGGTTCAGGATTTAGGGGTTTGGGGTTTAGGGATTTAGGGTTTAGGAGCCCAGTAGTAGAGTAGGTAGCGTTTAACCCTCACGGGGTATTATAGTCCCCATGTACTCCTCAAGGTTAACCTTTAAATCCCCAAAAGTACCGGACAGGTCAGATGATAATGGGCTCGATATAGAGAGGTTTAATACAGATGTTCATCGGGTTTTGATCTTATTATTTATTATCATACGGCAGGGTTATATTGGGGTTTTCAGGATGTTCTGGGGGCTTTTGTTATGTATCCAGGTTTTCCGCACGCCTGGATGTGAGAACGAAAGGTTGGAGTTGGTAGAGTGTTGTACATGCGTGATAGGGTTCTAACGTGGCTTAAACCCGAAACCCCAAACAGTTCTTATAGGATCCTACAGGACTTCTTGTAAGGGTTTACGGATGTAGCTCTGGATTCGGTGTCCGGGTTTGAGACCACCCTAAATCCTCAATGCCCTTTATCCCGGCATTTTTTGTGTCTTTGAGGTTCCGTGGTGTCCGGATCTGGGTTCAGAGTTTAGGGTTTTGGGGCTTAGGGTTGGACTGTAGGCGGGTTTAGCGTTTGGGGTCTAGGGATCCTGGGTCAAAGGTGCTGGTATCCAGGGTCGAGTCCAAAGCTTGCGGTTGAGCTCAGTGCCCTCAGCCCCAACCCTAGACGCTGAACCCCAAGTCCTAAGCCACTAGTCGTGCTGTTGGGCTCAAGTGAGCCCCGGGAACCCAGTTGATGCTGTCTTCAAACTCAGGTCTCACGGGGTTCTGTAGGCCTTCTTCTATGAGCAAGATGTCCCACCATGAACCCGACATTTGACTTCCACACGGCACGAAGCTGTTTTTTTCAACAGAGGCGTGGTTCAAGGCCCTAGTATAAGCACTCGCATATTAATGAGCCCATTGGGCCCGTATAGGGTCTTGCGGTTTTTTGAGTCCCAGCTGTAAGGCTTTAGGACCTTTTGCGGTTCAGGTTGAAGGGTTTGGCCGCTTGTGGTTTCAATGTCAGTGCGGTAATTACCGAAGACAGGGGGTCCAAACATTTCGGCAAAGAGCCTGTCAAAGCTTGGCCAAATCGCTCTCTGCAGTACTTTTTGTTGATGGCCTATCTTCGGACTTGCCAACAGAATCTTACAGATCTCTTCAGCTTGCAAGCATTTTCGTACGCACATGAGGAAGCTTGGACAAAAGGTGCTATCCAAGCTCGAGAAACCAGACGGTGGGTTCCCCTTGGACTTCGTGCCGGTGGCCGGACTGCAAGAGCGGCTGCGTGCACCTTCCGCGGGCTGCACGGACGTGCGGACGAACTACCCCTACCGTACTCTCACCCGCGAAGGTGTGCCGAAGGTCACTCAACTGGCGCAGTTTCAGCTCGCGCGTCACGGAACAACAACCGCATAGCGTCTGCATGAGAACATGCAGACAGCACATGCCGCGGAGCTCGTTGTTACAGCTAGTGCATGTGACGAAGATTTCCTGGGTGGATCCGGAGAAACATGCCTGGATCAGACGAGGGGCTCACAAAGGACTGGCTCGCATCTATCCTGGTACCAAAACCCCTCCCTTACAAACCCTAAACCCAAAAGTATCCGCAGCCCCGATTCTGAACCAAGACCTCAAATCTTGAATGGACCGTTATATCAAGCCAGAAGCCCACAAGGAACCCAGGCTTAGTTTGTGAGATTTCAGCGCAAGGGCTGTTTATATAAGAATCGGGGGGACTCAGATTCTTGGCTCTACTAGAGGGGCCTTAACAATTAGAATAGGGCTTGGGGGCATACTATATTATAAGTGTAACGAGGAGTGCAGCGATATTCTGCGCCTCAAATTTTCAGCAAGGAATCCTTAACCAATACTTCCGCCATAGGAATGCTCTTCCCTTATGGTCCATGTGTAAGTGGACTAACCTCAAATCGACTTATTAAGGCACCTACACTAAACTTAAACCCGTATAGTAGCCCGCATGACATACCTTTCGAGGAACCATCACAGGGTCCTTGTTCTCTTTTTGGGAGGGCCCCTAAACCCTGAACCCTAAATCCACGAGTATTTCTCCAAATGCCGAGGCAGTGTCGGGCGAAAGCCCGGCTCCCTACGCGCTCTTCACGCACGAGCGGGCCCCGATCAACGTTTACGTTTTGGGTTATAGAATCCCCTGAAGGAATAGAGAAAAGATCATTCAGTGAAGATAATATACGGGCCTGAATAATTCTCAATACTTTGGGTTCCTTATTATGTTTATACTATAAAAAACTCCCAAACCCTATCCTACTTATTAAGGCCATCTATTACCTTCTTTAGTTCACGTGGCGTAACAGAAAGGCTCGGGTGCAAGGCTTTGCCCCCAGGGAGCCCAAGTACCTAATGTAGTGGCCTTAATAATCTCAATAAGGTTTTGGGCCCCATTAAACTATAAGTATAATAAGTAATATAAGGAACCCCGGAAACAGGATTGGTAATCATCTACGCCTCTACGTTATACTGTGGGCTAAGACTCCCTGAGCCCTCAGCCCTCTAAACCCTCAACCCTATAAACCCCTCAACCCTATAAACCCTAAACCCCAAACCCCAAGAAAATATAGACTTTTTCGTACCCTGAACCAAGTATGCCAGTATACTCACACCCTACACCCTAAACGCTAAACCCTAAACCCTTACCCTAAACCCTAAACCCTAACCCGAAACCCTACACCCTTAGCCTAAGCCCTAAACTCAAGGCCTAGGCCGCCCCCCTACAGAGGGGGAGCGGCGCTTAAGCCCCTCGACTTCTCTGGAGAAAAGTCGACCCAGCTCACGCCTCCTGCATCAGTAGCACCCACGAGTAGGGGTACCGGAACCCGTCTCCCTGAAACCAATACTGGTCCCCTTAATAAGGTAAAAACCGCAGGCCAGGGGGCGGCCAGGGGGCCCGGAGCCTACACCCCTCCTGTCCTGCCCTGCCCGCGAGCTTGAAATAAAGAAGAAAAACCTGGAATGAGTTTAGAGCTAAATCCTAAAAGGAATAGATTTGGGTGGTTTGGCCGCCTCAGACGGCGTGCGGCGGGAGAGAAAAAGGAAAGGGCCCTCCACATTCAGGCTCCAGCAGCGAATCGTCAAATTACGACACACTCGA